GACAGCCAATTTTGACTTCATTCCTTTAAGTCGCACGCTCAATCCTTATTCGCTGGGTTTCTAACTTCTTGGAACATAGGAGCATCAGAGTGAATGTTTAGGGTACCTACTCCGAGTGCTGCACTCCGAAGGCGGGTGTCCCTCAAGGAGGAGTACTTAGCCCTACACTGTTTATCATGTATGTCGGAGCCATGCTACTCAAAGACCTAAACCACATTTTTTGCTCACAGTTCACAGATGATGTTGCAATCTGGAAGAGTGCCCCAAACCCAACAACAGCAACATACAATATACAACCACTAAATGAATATAGAATTGTACTGCAATAAGGGGAGAGTTAAAATAAATGCGCACAAAGTCATATTATTTACAAAATCGTACAAAAAAAATTAATACCACAGTTATATCTAGACGGGACTCTCTTACAGGTAGCAACACCAGCAAAATTCTTAAGGATGACATATGACTCAAAATTAAACTGGATACCACACATTAATAGCATAAAAACCAGAATTTGAAAAAAGAGCGAGTTACCTTAGGAACCTGACTGGCAACAAGGAGCTTCACCAGAAAACATATTAAACATTTACAGAACATAAATAAGACCAGTCGTATAATATGTCCGTATAACATTAATAAATGTATCAAAAACACACATCAACAAACTACAGCAAATGCAAAACTATATTTAAACGAAATCATATAAAACCCCATGATCAACAAACTCAGAATCATGACAGACTCCTGGATAACTCGCTTCAATATTATAAGAAATATTAATAAAAATGAACAGATTGGCAAACTAGATGATGAACCAAGCCCCAAGTACTTCTCCCCTCTAAACATCATAAATAAGAATCTTACAGGTCAAACAGTGCTAGGCTAACTGAATCCTAGACACAAACGTAGCTCTATTTTAAAAGGGCCTTGTATGTAAAAATAGGATTATGTGTGTGTGTATGACTGCTAAATGGAACTGTATTGTGAACACAGATTAATAGTGCGATCATACATAAGTGAAGCTAGTGAAAATATACAAGTTAATATTACCCCTTGAATTGGACATGGCACGAAAAGGGTATGCGGAAAATGGACAAAATTTAACATACTGTGAGTAATGCAACATCAACATAATAAGGGTTATTACCTACGATTCAGTAACAGTGGAAACAAAATAACAATTCAAGAGACGGAGGACGAGATCTACGCTGAACCAAAACACGGACCGAATCCCGAGGATGATGATGTAGTGCTCAATCCTTTTTTGGCCGCACCTTTTTTTCACACCTAAGGTGTTTTTGATTAGATAAATATTGACACGAAAAGATAACTTAAAGTCTTGAAGATAGGACTAAAAGAAGCATAAGAAAATCATTATACGAATGCTGAAAATCCACGAAAAAGAATCTTTATAATCACTATCAGTTTTTCTTAGGCAGTGTACCTATTTTTAAACTAACATGAATAACAACAACGCGTGCACTTGTAGATTTAATGTTAGTCGTCATTTGGCTACAAGTTGCACTTGATACACAGAAAGAATGAACCCTTGCTGTGTGAGCACTACACATAGTTAGTGTAACTCAGATTGTAGACTTATGAAAAATATGAGCACTGTACTTGATTAGTGCAAATCAAATTGTAGACTTACTAAAATATGAGCACTGTACTTGATTAGTGCAAATCAAATTGTATATTTATATATTACTATATGTGACATGTTTAAAACACTGTTTAATATACGCATCATGTCAATTCTCTGTTGGCTCAGCAATAAGCTTGAAAGCTTACACTGCTAAAATTCGTGGTTCAATCCCCGTGGCGGAAACAGCGCAGCTAGCCCATTGCGCAGCCTTGCGTCATAAGTAAAGAACAAATTAGATAATATTTAACTGATGAATTAATAAACATAGACACACTTTTAATCTTTTGTTAATGTGTTTTCTTAGTTAACATATAATGCATATAAACAAAACAAAATAAAGACGCATGAGTCCAATATTGTAATTTTATTTCAATAGGTAGCGCTTTTGCAGCATTAATTCTGTTCTTCAGACAACAATGGCCCGATCTTTTAATATTAATAAAGAAGTCTGATAGAAAAACGTCCTCAATCCAAGAATTATTACAATTGTGACTTTGTTGGTTAAAAAGCAACTTTGGTGTTGCTGAAGTGCCACCTATTTAAATAAAAATTTAATCGTAAATTCGTGCCTCTTTATTTTCCTATATTAATATACTTTTAAATAAACTTTAAAAAACTTAACTAACGAACCATCTGCTTGTAGACCGCAGCCCCCCCCCACGGGTGAATTTTCAGGACATGTATATTTAGATAGCCTAATATATAGAAATATATATATATATATACTTTTCTGATAGAATACAATCTATTACAGCGAAAGTAGTGAAAAACGATGTTATTTACGTGTCATCAGATTCACAGGAGTATATCAATGAATAAGGGGGTTAGGGTTACTACTTCCGGTACTAAAAGTTGAGACACCAATAGTTTGTCAATAAATCTGGTACATTTTGAAAAAGCAACAAAAGAGCATTTAAATGCTATGAATATATTTTCTAAATATATAGTATAATGTTTAGATTGTGACAGAAATTATGCATGTTGCTTGAAAAGTTAGAAAAGGGACAAACTATAGGAAATGTCTGTTACTTGAAATAAAATGATACTAATATTTTAAAGGTAGAGCTGTAAGGCACATTAGAGTATCTTTTATTGTAAAAAAAATGACCAAAACAAGGTGCTACATAGAGATCATTATATGACAAAAATGAATAAAACAAGATGCTACATGGAGAACATTTTGTGAAAAAGTGACAAAAAAGGTGCTACATAGAGATCATTATATGACAAATATGACCAAAACAAGGTGCTACATAGAGATCATTATATGACAAATATGACCAAAACAAGGTGCTACATAGAGAACATTTTATGTTCTCGATGTTTAATCTTGTTTTTGAGTTCTTATATTTTGTTGAAAAATGCAATCAGTCGTTTCATGATGGATATTTTTCTGCAGTACCAGACTAGATATATTTTTGTTGTAGTTTGAATATTATAAATATATTATTAAAATTTAAAGTACGTAATAATCTCTTTTGAACAATTTCAGAGTGAACATGCACCAAATATCAACCAATTTAATGTTTTTCTGCCAGAGATCTGGAGCATACAGAGGCCTCGGTTTCACTGCAGATGGTTTATATACAAAACATTCAAGGAAAAGTATAGACCATTTCTGTAAATAACACTCACTTACAAGCATGAGTACTTGAAAAACAGAAAAGGGGCAAATTATAGGAAATGTCTGTTACTTGTTTGAGTAATCACCGCCCTGTGGGTACATGATAATGTTGAAAATTAACTAGGGGGTACATTACCGGAAAAAGTTGAGAACCTCTGATTTAGATATACAAGATGTGGCTTCTGTGCAGCTAGAGAGATTTGGTTTTCATATATATATGAAATACTCCGACATCAACAAGCTCCTCGCAGACATGTTTAAACAGGAATTCCAACCGAAGTCTGGTGAGTCACTCTCACGTGGTAACAGAATAGATCTCAGTCTGCTGCCACCTTGTAGACGTTCACTAAGAATGCATATTCTTCGATCAATTATCAATTACTAAACACTCATTTGGAAAGCCGCTGCTACAGCATACCCTCACATCGAGTCCAGACGAACACAGTTGAACCGTTGATGACACTAACAATCTTGCCTATAACTGGACTGAAGGCTACATCCTACAACCAGAAGTGGTTGATATTTTATCATAAACACCCAGTATTATCGCTGATGGTGATAATTTGGAGGAAAATTATGACAATGACATTGACTTCGATAATTACATGGACCAGATTTATGAGGAGGAAAATGCAGAGTAGACTATAAATGTTTGAACCAGAGTACCTTGATAAAGTCTTCAATCATATGTGCAACACGGTTTTTGAAAACAATACATTTACTTTGTAAATTATCTTGAATTTTATGGACAAAACTACATGCAAACGTCAGCTAACAAGACGTAATTTCTACACCCATCCTTTTTCAAATTTTGTTTGAGATTTAAAATATTATGGAAATTATACTTTTCAAAACACTTAAATACGATGTGCTTTCATAACAAATATTATGTAATTCGGTGTTTATTGAATTCTAGAGAGTGATGCTGTTGGAACTGAGAAAACACTCGCGGTTCAAATCTATCATTTTATTGATCGACAATGTAGTTTAAAATGCGCTGAAAAACTATGAACTTATATGGGTTGACATAATTGTAGACTATTCCTGGATTGAATCGTGAACAAAAAAGCATACGCGTAATTATGATTTGCATTAGTTCTAAGAAATTTTACTGATATTTCTTACATAAGATCGTGAGTAGGCACCTCAACAATATATAATTCATATCAATGTGTCATTGCTTCTCAGACTTGTAGAAAATCAGTTGCCGTCTTTCTATGTTTGATGATACATGTATATTAATATTCTAAAACCGATACGACTGTCTTATTTTTGGATTTACCAAAAACACAAAAAGTAATATTTCAGCATATCCGTACCATTAAAATACCAAGAAAACGTTTCCTTTCATAATTTCACATTCCTAGTTGTGTCTTAAACATCTGGGGTTATTAAAACCAGTATTGAAACGAAGTTTTGTCAGATAGTAATAACTATACGTGTTTGTAAATCGGTACACTAACTGTAGCTGTAGTCTTAGACAGAAACCAAGATTTGACCATTTTCGCTATAATTAAAAGCTGACAGAAAAGTGGATTTATATTGAAAATATAGGTATTCAAATTTCCCACTAGGGGAAAGGATTTACGTTTCAAGCCCGCCACTATTGTTTTGGTAACAAAACCGCTTCACCAATGCGTGTTGAAAATATTTATTTGTATCTTCAAAGAAAAGTCAAGATTTATTTTAATTAAACAGTATGTTTGGTAAATTTATAAAATTTACCCTAACCTCAACCCTTTCTTCTTTCAAGTCCACTCGCATAGCCAGTTCTTCTCGTAAAAGTACGTCAGGATAGTGAGTTTTGTTGAATGCTGCTTCGAGCTGTTCTAATTGTTCTTCTGTGAAGATAGTTCTGTGACGTCGTTTCCGCTTCTGGCCGCTGAGAGACGCTGATGTAGATACGTGTGGTGTACCGAGATAAGATGGAAGAACTGCTGGATAAGCTATACGTATCAGAAAAAAGGCAACTGTCTTAAAGAACACCTTTTGCAGACTTTTAAAAGTTTCGTTTATATGATGTCTAATGTTCTACCTTGCTTCATGGATATCTAAATATTTCACCTATAAACTCGCGTATGAATGGTGTATCTTTGAGAAGAGATTAACCGTTTCTGCTTACTTTATCTGATTGCTTTGACCCGTGCTTACTCTGTTACACTTGTATGAACGTAAACTGTAAAAGTTCCTTATGTCACTCTCTACACGATTGATTGCTGTCTTATGATTACAAACACTGCTACGCCCCATTGGCTTTTTCACATACGTAGTGATATAGAATTAGTAAGTGGAAGCTGTAGAACACAGTTATACATCAGAAGGTACACTCACGTGCCAGACATGTAATTTTGAAATATTTTCGTTGGAAAACTATTGTAAAAACCAATAGATGCCAATGCAACAGGATTGCACGAACTCGTATTTTTGGACACAAAATGAGTGAAGTTGATTTATGATTCAAATAACTTGTTAGACGTCCAAACCCACAATACAAGTGAACAGAATGAGATTATAATTTTTTATATATAATGTTTGAATTATTGAGACCTTAAATAAACGAAACACACATTGGTAAGTCTGACTTTTTGTTCGATATTTAACAACCACTTGTCGTTATGTTTGCTCTTTTTGCGAAGCCTATAAAGTGTCCATTCAAAAGAACACGTACACCCCCAAATAGGGTATGTGGCTCGTACCAGAACCCGTGTTTAATTAATAGAAGTATTTCAGAGCAACATTCACGTTGTTGATCTTCACGTAAAGGGACATGTAAAAGAACATGTATGGAAGTAATAGGTACCAAACTCTTGTTTTTACATCGTAATTTTCGAAACTAAAAAAATTAAGATAACTGTATGCCAACTCTAAGAGCAATTCAATAAGAGATTTACATATAAAATTGCAGATTCAGAGTCTTAAAAAAAAAGCATTATTAATGTTGATGAGTATAATTTATTTTAAAATGCGATAAGTTTTACTAATAGTTAAAAAGAAAATGTTTTGAGATTAAGCTTACAGTTTGTTTCAGAATTAAAAGCAGGAATATGTTATTCAAGCCGTCCATGAAAAAAGATGAAAATTAAAGCCCCATTTTTAATTATATTTAATTTCCTGTTTCATAAAATCCATTTAACCTATTTTTACAAGAATATTTATTCATAATTTTTCTTTATTACTTTGAGAAGTTGTTTACGAAGCTTTAAAAATCATCAAACCTTAAAATTGATTTATATTCATAAGAAAAAAGCTAGCGCTGACTTCTAAGAATAACGTTATATTATTTTATTAGATTTTTTCTATGCAATCCTGAAGCAGTATTTAAAACTGTATCGCTACTTTTTCACAATAATTTTTAACATACAGCACTGTTTCGAATAGAGTAAACATGCGTTATGTGTTATCTTTTAAGAAAACACTTCGTGGTAATCTGTAGGGCGTATTTGAAGGACTTCATCCCACCATCCAGGTTAATGAAAATCAACTTACTTTTCAATCATAATCTGAATGTAAAACTTTTATTACACTATTTATTTGTATTTGTTATCAAACGATAGTAGATATTTTCATAATTATGTTTTTATATACAAATAATTACTTACCCAATAATTCTGCAGAGGGATAAGATCCAGTGAGGGGGATAATCCCCGATGTCCAGTAAGGATAAGTGACCCTCGGTGAAGGTGGGGAATCTCGAGCTAGTATACTATCAATGGTAAATGACGACATTGCATTAGTTCGATGAGGGCGACTGCAGGCGACGGTCAGCGGACAAAACCTGGTTGTCTTCAGATGAGGATCCGGCGGCAGACAACACGAATAAGCTGCAAAAGGGCAGATTAGCCCGTAGTTTCCCGGAATAGCCATTCAGCAGTACTTTCTTGCTTTGTGTGTTTGTTATAAACAAAACAAAACAAAAAAACAAAAAAAAAACACTTAACATCCGAAATGTTTGCCCAGTAGATAAATCAAGGTTGATATGAAATTAGATATAAAAACATAAAACTGAGATATTGTCTTCCTTGTACATGAGATCAAAAATTAACGAGTAGGATTATTTTTATATCAGCAAATCTTGCTTCTTGTCTGCTTATTTTTAGGTATATATTATCGGAGTTTGCTTAGAACATGAATTGCGACCCGGAAGGAAAACGGGACAGATTACCGATGGAAAACCTTTTTTTTTGTTGAAACTATAACAAGAGAAATGAGTCAGATTCTTCCCTACTTTTTGGTCGTTTTAAACGGAGCACTTTCCACTTATTACAAGCTTGAGTACGTGCTTTGTAGATTCTAAGTTAATCCCTCATAACTAGTATTCCACTAGACTAACTTTAATTACTGCGAACAAGTAACACGGATAACTCAGCAACTTTCATACCCCCAAAATGTCCGGAATAATATTTCACCGGTTCCTGTTTATGTCCTAACATCGAATCCGAAAATCCGGTTTTTAAATACCGTTTTGGCCCAATTATAAGGCGATGTTTTTTTTTTTAGTATTAATAATTAGGTAGTAAAATTCATAGTCGCTTTATAATCGCGGCCAATCACAGGCCCCCTTCCCCTACTCTAGCCTGACGCATTCTTAGATGTTCATATAGCATCTGTCTACGCATGCGCACCAGATGTTCGCTCAAGTTTATTGCTAATTCTTGCAATTAATCCACCTTCAGGCTGTTCAGTTATAGTATTGATATAAAAAAAAGGACGTTATGACACACAGTTTTTTTTCTTTCCCATGGTTTCTGAGAATGGGGTCGCCTTATATTCGAGATCGCCCTATAATCGGGCCGATATGATATTATCATTCGATACAAATTCATCCACACATGTCACATAAAAGGTGTCTAGTTTTGAAAGAAGATGTAATATTTTTAGTACACACAACTGCACAAAAAGCTGACTTTTAATAATATACGTAAGATTTTCAAAGTAGATCTATAAAAACAAATCTTATTTGCCGAAAATTGTGCCTGAAGGAGCACCCAAATTATTACAAATTCTGCTATATATGATAGAACAGTATGCGTCATAAATGGTAGTACTTCTAAGAACGTATGGGTGAAAGTAAAGGAGAATATGTTATAATCTGTTAACCACACTACATCTGCCATATCCAGTGCCGACGAGGCCTTTCGCCTAAAACTAGGGCTCAACAGGCCGGTTGGGATACGAAAGGCATAATAATGATATAGGTGCTAGGTATATTATTAGTTATCATCAATGACAATTGTTTTAGCGTGAACTAGATCAAGTCAATGATTTGTAATTATTCCCGATTTCATGTAAGACAATGGATAGTTATTTGTTGAAAATCTTGTCTTGCGCAGCTCCAAAATGTCGATATTACTTTGCCGTATACGATGGAACACTTTATTGAGTGATAAATGGTTGAAGAATACAGAATAGTTAATTCAAGTAATGGTCAGTGACATGATATATGATACAAAACAACAGGTGACTAATAAGATCATATATAAATCCAGAGGCGTCGCTAGGCTCTGGCACACGGGGCCCATCCCCTTTTCTATTTAATAGCGCTACGAATTCCCAGTTGGTGTCTTGAAAAATCAAAATAGAAAACCATGATCAATATCATACTTAAACGCAGAAAATTCCTGCGCCTATGGGCCCGATCCCCGAATCTTTTAAGCACATAGTGACGCCTCTGTATAAATCAGTTGAATTAGTTCGTGAGTAACAAAACCATAAATAAAACTGATGAATTGCGTGGTTAGTGACAACATCATAAAATAGTTGAAATACACGGTAAACAATTTAGCTATATTGCGATTGGCAACATCATAAAACAGTTGAGCTAGGTAAAGGTTGACAACATATTATGTAAAGCAGTTGGCCAACGTGGCGAATAGTAACTTCATTAAACAGTTGAACTACGTGGTGAGTAGCAACATCATAAAATAGGTTGAGCTATGTAAAAAATGATATAAATTAAGTGAAGGTGGTTAGTAGTAACATCATAAAACAGGTTGAGCTATGTAAAAAATGATATAAATTAAGTGAAGGTGGTTAGTAGTAACATCATAAAACAGGTTGAACTATGTAAAAAATGATATAAATTAAGTGAAGGTGGTTAGTAGTAACATCATAAAACAGGTTAGTGGTATCATAAATCAAATGAAACATGTAGTTAGTAGTAATATCATAAAACAGGTTGAACTATGTAATAAGTGATATCATACGTCAAATGAACTACGTAGTTCGTGGTAACATCATAAAACAAGTTGAAATGAGTGATATCATACGTCAAATGAACTACGTGGTTAGTAGTAACATCATAAAACAGGTGGAACTATGTATTGAGTGATATAAGTCAAATGAACTGCTGCTTAATGGTAACATTATAAAACAGGTTGAACTATGTTGTGAGTGATAACACAAGTCAAATGAACTACGTGGTTAGTAGTAACATCATAAAACTGGTTGAACTACGGGTGAGCGATCATCATATGTTCATACGTAAAATTGAAGAATGTTTTTTATATTGATTAGTTGAATTGTTCGTTCTGTATTACTGGTAACTCGGCATAGAATTTTTAGCTCAATATTTTACAGTATTTGAATTATTAGGAGCCGTTAAAGTATATCGTAGAAAATATAAAGGAAACTAATCTACAGAAGTGAGTGCTGTAAACTTACCTCAAGACAGGCTCAATTTCACTAGTCTCACCGTTCATTTAGTGCCTTCCGGTGCCCACGAGATCCTTTGCGGTATTCCTATAATCGCAGCGTTGAGCTGATTAGGTCACACCCCCACAGTTCAGCCGCTTATCGTGAAGGTGACTAGGCGTGGTCTCCGCCACTTCTTATTGGTTGTATTGTCTCGTTATCCTCTCTCGTTGGCTAAGACTTATCCACAGATATTTTCCCATCTCGATTCTTCAATAGTACTTCTGTGAGCAATTATTCGTTGCTGTTAATTTGAAATAACGATTATGTGTATTTTGTGAGAGCGGTTACTAAATGGCGACATTTTGTAATTCAGTTACGTATATTTTATCCATTCCTGAATGAAATAATTACGTGGAACGATAGAGAATGTTCGATGACGAGGAACCCACTTTGAGACTAATAATGGCTGGAG